GTCGTGTTATCAGGGGAACCTTAGAGAGGTGTCTTTCACTCCCATATACCATAAAAGATAAATGAATGCACTGGTTTGAGCCATTATCTCTGTTACTATAGATAATTCTAGCCAGATGCCTCAGATCGCGATCATTAAGCTAATACATTCCATCATGTATTTCCATTACTCACATGACAACCTGGATCAAGGGATGTCAGATGTCGCAATTTCAGAAATGGAATGTCCCATTAATCTAGTGCCCGCTATCATATCCTGTTCGAATTCTGATCATTCACGTTGCCTTGACATTAACAATCACATTAATGTTCCTAATGATTTTTCAGATGTCAGAGCACATTGATTATAGTTCTGGGAATTTCAATGACGTTATCTTCGTGTTTTTTGGTAAATCACTGTATATATCAGGATATCCGGGAAGAAATGTTTGAAATCTGATAGATTGAATGATATTTTAACACTTCTAAACGTCTCTTTACAATTAAATAAATATTACAAAAGCAAACGAACAGAAAAGTATGGTTTGATTTGTTTTACGGCATATCAACCTCAATGGGTTATTTAATACCGAAAAACTTTTATTGCTGGTAATATTTTGTTTCGTCCAAAATCTATTTCTGGTAATAATTTTTTCCTTCAAAAAATGCATTGCTGGTAATATTTTTTTCCAAAAATGTATTGCTGGTAATAGTTTTTTTTCTTCAAAAATTTATTGCTGATAATAATTGTTTACAAAGTATTTCTGGTATTAAGACCTATTTTTACACTTTCATAGTGTTTTGACCCCAGTTTCGGGGTTAACTATTTGCCCAAAGCTGGGACCCTAACAGGTGCTACCACCCAGAGTCAGGGTGGATCTAGGAACACCAGCAATTAAGAGGTGGTTCCATGCTCACCAAAACCTCCTGATCAGAGGACGTAGTTTATCTTCTTACCAAGGACGCGGATGTAGTTTATCGTCATACCCAGGACGCGAACAGAAAAATGAGGAAATTATTATTAAATAATAAGTAGTAGATATTGAGTTTTTTTTAAAACTAATTTAATACACTTCTATATGGACACCATTAGTTGCACAAAACGCATCAAGACGATACTCGATTTTTTGCCATGTTCGCTGTAACATATCAATGGTTTACCATTTGGCTCGAGTGCCTGTAAGAGTTTCCCTTTGCACTTTCTTAGCGTACTATCGCAAGTTCTTGTGTAGGACTTTTTGTACTGTTGAACGTGGCAGCTGTAACTGTCTGGCAACAGTCCGGATGGACACTTTAAGAGAACACTGAAAGGCTTGTCTTACACGATCGATGTTTTGCTCAGATGTTCTTGGTCATCCATTCCTCCCTTTATCCAACACTGTCCCTGTTGTCGAGTTACCACCTCCTAATTTTTGAAACCGTTACTAGGGGGGCGCTTTGCAGCACTATAAATACTCCGCGATAATTATTCGCAGTCTCTTCTTACTTTTTACGTCAAAATGTAAATTTCTTGCTGAAGATCGCGATTATAACGCGTTTCCTTTTGGAAAGAGCATGAACAATAAATGCACACACACGTACGTACGCACAGTCACTCACTTCACATACTTTGGACCAAAAAGTTTCGACATTCATTTGTTACACACATTATTGTCTTTGTCCCTTTTAACCTTTTATTGTTAATACATCATCATTTGTTCGTACAAATATATCGCTTCTTGTTTCTTTACATTTCTTTACTTGGGCTCAAATTCCGAGTCTTCCATGTTTGTTGTGGGCATTGCAGGAGACACACGTGTTTATTTCTCAACGCATACTCAGGCCCGCAACACTGTTTCCATAAATATTTTGTGTCATGCACGAATTGTAGTTCTATAGTTTCGCTGAGTCTGTGTATCCGATTTTGTTTCAATAACCCATGATGAACATTGTGACATTTGTTGATGAGTAGCCATTAGTAGGGATTCATTTAACATTAACTCTTTCATCAACAGGATACCAGAAATATACAAATGTAATTTGATCAAAATCTTTGATAACTCCTCAATTTCCTTTGCAATATATTTTTTTTAAATTGTAAAGAGACTTTATGGACAGCCTGCATTAAAAGAAGTCATGTAAATACACGTTGGTACAGATTTACATTGTTAATGTACAATTCAGCTTAGTTAATTAAACATGGACGAATCGACGCAGTACACAAGACATGTAATAATGCTGGATGATGATCATCAATCCGTGGATGGCCGTAGAGTCGCTGCGCACATAAGCGTCTGACTAGATATGTACTCTGGGTTGAAAACCGGAGATGGTATCCGTTCATGCGCAGAGTGTATCTTGGGCAAGTAGGTCAGGTGGAGGCCATCCCTCTTCATGTTAAACTGCAATCACGATATTCTCCAACTTGAAGGCTCCCTGTGGTCACGGGCACGTAGCCGTTGATTCTATTGAGGTAACCCACCGCCATCACCCTTGATTTCAATCTATAAAGACCTCCGCACTGCGGTACCGTGTCATCACTGCAATGACTGCATCCATAGCTATGGAGCCCCAGTCTAATCCCATTCTCCTAGGTGACCATTGAGCTTACAAGAATATTCATCCGCTTTTGGCAAGTTTCTTTTTTAAAATCCTGCTGGATGTCTCGCTACTTTTTCCAGCAGAAAAACCTTACAGGGAAACCAGTTTAGTTGCTGATGACCTGACCACACGGCAGATAGTACTGGGTTACATGATACCAGCAGCAGCACTCGTACAGTGACCTGACATAAAAGGATAGTATTTAAACGAAAGAATTGCTGACATGAGTTTTTGAAATCTGATGCACAACCGTGATTTCAGCTTGAGCATGCCACCCTGTTGAGTTTAGCGATAACCGACCTGTCTGAACTCGATGTAGATAATGCGGTTACGGTTGAAGAAGAATTACCTGTAAAACCGAATTCAAGTAATTCAAAAGTTCACCGTCATTTGTAGCAACAAAATAGGTTTCTTTTGATTTGACGGAAAGCAACCATAAAACAAATCGGGCATCAGTAATGCTCTGCCCTCTTGTGAAAGAATCTCACTATTTTGGAACAGATAAGTACCTGGTCATTTAAAAAAAAAGAACATGGATATTTTTCAAGAATTTATGAAAAGTCGCGAATTCAAAATGGATCTCCATCCAAGGAAATATGCGTGCTTGGCAGGATTGCCCTGATACAGTACACTCTGAGGTGCTGTCAGTCAATCTGACGTCATGAGTCGTCGGTGCATCTAAACAAGACATTGTAAGAAATGAAACCTAATTTGATCAATCACGAAGTCGCCACGTTCTAAAAATATTAATGCATGACTCCGTACAAAAAAGATTCAAGACAGCTGGAAAAAAAATTTCACACACTCCTTATTCTCTGCAGATCTTCGTATAACTGATTCACATTTCTGGCAGAAGGCTGAGTTATTAATACCCGGTGAGAATCAAACTCATTTTAATCCCAATGGTTTGTTTTTTGCCATCTAGTGTTTTACGGAAAAGAGAATGTTGGGAACTTGTTTGTTAAGGTAAAAATCTGATGCTCTACCGTTTTTTAAACTTCAACTTGAAGTTTTATCAAACATTATGTTCCAGGATTTTAAAAGTATGAAAACAAAACTAACTACATCCAATAAAATCTTTTACTAGTCATTTGATTCCGCAGTCGTTACATATTTTGGCACAAAACAAAGTTTTTCGAAGTCATCCGAAGAATTTAAACACTTGAATAGAAAAAAAAATGGTTTTGTTTACTCATGTTTCATACGGATCGATGCTGTTGCGTTGTCAGGCAAAGCAACTAATGTAGGAATTTTTTTCTCTCATTTTAGCTGTACAGCATCAACCCCAACGGAGTAACCTGCAGGGAAAATGGCTTACATTCTTTGGGTGGCCAATCACTGTTTATAAATACTGGGAACAATGACGCTGTCGTTTACAATGAGAGACATTCTCTCCCGTCTGCACGCCCTCGGCCACGCCCTTACAGTGACGAAATCGCCGCCTTCCGCTTTTATTAATCGACATATCTCCGCTTTGTACCGCAAACAAATATCCTTTTAGCTTAATCAGAAATCTCGACAAAGAATTTGACAAATATCATAATTGGGATAACCAACACATTGTTTCACGTTTGACAATTTGTAATTAAAAGAATGAAAGTGATTCTGAAAAACATTCTTTTGTATGTCTATATTTCTGAGATGAGGTATCATGTACACTATTTACATTATTCGAACTATTGTCCTCATCTTTGTCGCCATATTTATTACAGCGTTTAGGCCGTTGTACGCTCCAGCCTTCTTCAGGTGGTAGGAATGTCGAACTGAACCCTTTATTTCGCTCGCTGGGTTAGACTGTTCTAGTTCCACGTGCTATGTTTAATGGTTGTCTGTTATCAGTTATCTCCTGTTAATTCCCCACTGCAAGTTCTCCACTGCCTTAATCCGGTATTGAACTCACACTCTTTGGGTCCTGTCACTGGATCTAACCAACGCCTTTATCCACTGTGCCAATACCCGGTTATGGACTTGACACAAGGCCTCACAAGTAGGGTCACGCAGGATCTATTAAGTAGTAATGATGAATTAGACTAGTTTGTTAACTTATATCCACTTACCAAAAGGTCTAATCAAAAAATTCTTACAAGTTTATTTAGTTGTAAAACGATTGATCGCCGCTTAACTGCGAAGCAATTGCTATTTTAGCAATTGCTCATTTATTGAGGCTCTGTGCCAGACTCATTTCAGAAAATTTCTACCTACAGTTTTAAAACCCAACTTTACCTCGATATTCGAAAGTATGAATCGCTGTGTAAGATTATCGCCATGATTGACAATGTTGCAATGATTGTCGGGAAGTAGGAATGTCAATTTGGAAAAAGCGCCTCCGTTTCAGACATGTGTCTATGAACCATTCATTGTTAGAATAACACAAGAATGTCTGAAGCTAAATAGTCAAACATGTCGTGTTTGAAATCTTTCAAAATAGCAGGCAACGAAACGTTTGAAACACCGGTTCCCGTACGATCACCGAAGTTAAGCAATATCAAACGTGGTTAGTACCTAAATGGTACTGACCAGGCGCAAATGGTAACCGCTTGGGAATACCAGGTGCTGTAAGTGTGGATGTGCGGATTGTGAAATGGATAATGGCTCGGAATTGTTAATCGGTGGATTCATTATATTCACTTACGCCCAAATACTTTTGGGAAAGATATGGTGATTATCTAAGCGTAGCAGATGTGGTACACGGTCGAAAGTATAGGGCACTTAGTGAGCACTTGGGTAAGGTATGAATTCTCTTCTCCCCCATCTATGGGTTAATTATTAAGAGTTGTAGCGCTGAAATCATTATTACCTCCCACGCAAAAATTTTACAATCTAGAACTATTTTCTGGTTTTAAGTAACCTGGAAAGTTTTGGTTGATAAGCCGTAGAAAAAACGAATAAATAAAAAAAAAAAAAAAAAATAAATAAAAAAAAAATAAAAAGCAACGAACCATGACTTTCCCTATTGATGCAAAAAGATAAAATGATTATTTCGGATGTTTTAGAACGCTTATCCAGCATAAATAGTCATTTTGAATTCGCTTTACGCCATTTCAGATAAGAGAAACTTCAGTAATTTAGAACTTACTCAGTCGTAATTGTTCTAGCAAGACAGGCTTGTTAACCATTACATCGTCTCGTGGTGACCCCCCCACCCCCACCCCCAACACATAAACAGTTTGATATATGTTTAGTCGATTCGTGTGATTTGGGGAAGTAGAAAATTTTCAGCACCCCTCGTACTAAAATTCTACCCCATTATTATTTTGAATATATTTTTTGCATTTGCTTTTTATTGTTAGCATTTTTTAATACTAATGTTCACCAATACAATATCCAAGAGCCACAGAAGGTAGATGGTTATTCAGTGGAGTTATATTAGCGTAGGAGAGAACAAACTTTAAAAGGAACTAGAAACCCAAACAGGAAACAAGTGATAAACCTCTTCTGTTTAAAAAACCAGGGAGGAGCGTGAACCGGACGATACTCCTATTACGAACCTATCTATTGTATATTTCAATTATCGAACAGATATACCTAATACTCTGACAAGTAAGGAAATAGATAATTTTGATCAAGATTATTTGTTGCTTTTTGCATGCGACAGCGTCACACTATAGAAATGGTGTCGCAATGAATGCAATGTTGACCTTGCCACAGTGAGAATTGAGTTTCAAGATTAAAAATGCCGAAAAAAAAAAAAAAAAAAAAAAAAAACACAACAACCACACACACAAAAAAAAAACACATAAAAAATAAAAACAAAACAAAACAAGCAAAACACAAACAAGATATAATTGTCAATAAAATAACAATAAACAAGCAAATCATTGATTTATTCGTATTTCGGTAGGAAAATCTTCGAATCTGTCTTTTAAAGTATTCATTCACTTCTCACCTGTCTATATAGTTGAATAGAATTTTCCCCACTAATGCCAGAAGTCACTGCTAGAATCTGAGTACCCCCCCTCCAAAAAAAAAAACAGGACTTCAAATATAGATAATTTCGAATATTGGTGTAACACAATCTTCTTTCCACGTTCGCTATACCAATCAAACGAAATAGGAAGAAACCATTTAAGCGAAGAAAAGACTGGGAATGTTGTAGGAATTATTCTGAGAGAATTCCAGAAATTACGCTCCCGCGAAATCAGTTTAACCAAAATGTTTTTGTACTTATTCACCTTCGAAATCAACTGATGAAAAAGGATTCAGTTGTTGTTTCAAAATCAATTACTTTCGTATAATTAGCAAAACTGCTATATTTGTAATTTGAACCAAACAATACAGAGAATGACTTTCCTGTTCAGAAGAGGATAATCAATCAACACCCATTTTGCTGGGAATTCTTCACTATTGCCCGGCATAGTTTCTGAAGTATCCTTCTGTTATTTTTTGGTTCTTAATTGTCCATTTTATTTATTACTATAAACAGCTAATATCAAACTAAAATCTCATTAAGAACTCATTATGTGGAAAACTTGGATACCACAAAAACTGAAGTCAAGGAACAGCTCATTTTCAATTTAAACTGATGAGTTAGTGAATTATTATACTTGTTAAAACAATGTGCTCTTAACATTATTTTATTTATAAAATGTGTAGTGCCGAACCTCTCCTAATTGGCGCACGTAACAAAACTGAAGTTTTCTAACTGAAAAAGGCGGTCTTTATGAAGAAACAACTTAACATTTGAATGGATTTTGTCACACAGCAGTACAATCCATTCACCTTGTAAGTGAAACTAGTTACGTCGAGTTATAAAAATCCTACCTTTAGAAGATACGGTTATCAGCGCAGATGTGTACAGAATACAGTGTTTATATCTGTAAAAATCAGATTAAAATCTACGTCCAGCCACTGAGGATCGACCTCATACTCCACTTGCGAGACCAAAACAGCTATGTAGAAGACTGAGAATTTGATCATATCTTTGAAAGTCAACGGAAATGACATCTCTCCGTAAATATAAACTTAAGCTAATAAAATGTATTTTGTAATACATCTTCTACTGCTTTGTGCGTTTTAATTAAGTGTACTCATTTGGCCTTGTACTCTACTTTCAAAGAGTATAAAATTTGGACAGCTGTATAAAAGATAAAAAAAGAAAAAAAAAAAACTGTTGTACTTTTTATTCAATTAAGTCGATATTAGTGTCTATACTTCCGAGATGAGGTATTGTAATTATTTACATTGTCCTCATTTTTTGTTGCCATGTTCACGACGTTTCGACCTTCTTCAGATGATTGGAATTTCGAACCGAACCCTTTTAGTCCACTGGGGTAGATTGTTCTACTTACACATGTCATGCCTCTTCCGGATATCTCAATATCAGTTATTTCCCTTTAACTCAACTCTCCAAGTTTTTGTTTACCTCTGCCGTAACCAGGTATTGAACTCTTTGAATCAAGCTTTTATCCACTGGGCTACGTGTCCCTGAGGGCATCAGTGTACAACAATTGAAACGTTGATAATATGGCAACAAAAATGAAGACAATAGTCTGAAAAGCGTAAGTAAGTCGATATCTGTCTCAGTATTCCGAAAGCAACAGAAGAGATATGTCGTTAAAGCAAGACAATTAACCAGTCAATATCTCGAAATGAATTCTTTTATTACCCGGTCTTTACTTGACCCCCCTCACTGAGTCAGGTTGTGACACAAGATCGGTTTTTAACGGTGAAGACACCCGGGTCGCCGGTCTTAGTTGGTTATATCTGGTTCAAGCTGATCAGAACCGGTCCAAGCTGGTCATAGCTGTGATACTACCAGCGCAGGGACTGGTCCCTGTGACCGGTAAGTATCTGAAAGTGTAAATTCCTCTCTTGAGGGGCATACGCAATCTCAGAATGAATTCTTTTACTCTTGCCTTTCAGTATTATTGGTAAGTTCTGATCCCTTTCACGCAGAGGCTGTTTCCAATTCACCATATCTGGTTCGCTGCAAAACGAGAGCCTTAAAGAAAATTTGAAGCTGAAAAAGAATAGTCTTGAATTTTTTCAAAAAAAAAAAAAAAAAAAAAAAAAAAAAAAAAAGCGAACTTACGGCAGATTTACAAGCCATAAAATGTATTTTATATTTTGCTGTGAAAAGTAATTTAGTCTTTTAAAGACTGGCTAGCCAAGCAAACATATGCTCATCTCTACCAACCGCTGTAATAAACAAAGCTTAAAATCAATACAAAGACTACCAAACATGGATTAAGATTTACTTAGATATTAAAAGACCACTCCAACAGGTTCCTTGACAAAAGTTAAGTTTAGCTAATATAACAGTGTCTCAGTAGAGAACATCGGGAGTCTTGAACGGGTTAAGAATTAGCGACGTTTTCAATCTGACATCCTGCCTCCTGTTTTATTTTGAACTAAAATGGCTGCAGTCAGCAATTCGTAAAGCACTGAAACATATTTTGATTCCATTAACCTTAGAGAGAAGGTTCTCTTTTATAACAGCTTTTTATGTTGTACTTGTAAATTTTGAAAAATATATACAAAAGACCAATCAAAGTCATGTTTATCCAATCACAGGATTTATTTCCTCATAGCACCGTCTACAGCAGATCCTTGACCTGAAATAAGCGAAACTTAAATACAAATCTTTCGAGTAGAGCTACTGAAATATCCATCTGACTGAGAACACTTCCTCGTAGTACTTTTATTGTATACATCGAGCCATACATTTTATGCTGCACTGTTTAGTTAATTGGATTTGATTGAGAATATTGATCACCGATACACAGGAGTAAATTGCTTTTGTGAAGGCGTATATATAATTTTAGAAATAGGAAAATCAAAGTGTCAGTAAGGAATCACATTTGAGCAAAGACAATTATAAACTCAATAACTAAAGCAAAACAATTCCACAAGACGATAGACATGTTCAGTTGAAAGAATTGAAAAGCTAATGTTTATTACTTCAAAAGATCGGATTCAAGTTCGGAAAAGTTTGAGTAATTATTTTGATATTTCTAATATGAACTAAAGTTTTGAAAGTTTTTTTTTCAGTTCGTCCTGTGTAAGAGACTTTCAAGAACTATTTTATTCGACCTTTGTACAAAAATAAATTAAAGAGTTTACTTGCAAATGATTGCGCTTAAAACCGGTCTTATGGCTTCTATCGTTAAGGTGCCGAAAAAAAAAAAAAAAAAAAAAAAAAAAAAAATTATATTAATTTTAAAACTATTTTCTTTTTTTGATAGGAAAAAACATCCATAGTTTTTATCATATAAGTGATAGTCAGCTAATCACTAACTTTGACAACACCGTAAACATAGGGCACCCAGTGAGGATCGAACTGTTAGTAGATACTTTCAATTATACTAGCTCGTTAACTATTCTATTTTGAAATTTATATCGGCGGTTGGTGTTCAAGCAGAGAGATGAATTAGATTCTGTAATTATGGTGTCTTAAATATCATTTGTTCAAGAACCATTTTGTTAAATCATTTCAGAATTTAAGACATGGGAGAATTACGAAGTTCAATGGCAGTTTTGTTTTCAAATCAGTTTGAATTAATGAGAAATCCGACAGTGCTAAAATAAAATAAAAACCTATTTACGAATTAATTTTGTCG